TTTAAACAGATAATCCAGAAGGGGACTGCTTATGTTCTTATGTGGGGACATCAATCAACTTTGTGAGTTAAAAAAAAATCAAAATTCCCAAATTGGGTAATACATTTATTAGGACTAACCAAAATAAAACAATAAAGTGTGCAAGTTTTAAAGTTCAAGGATTTATCTCTTGGCTATATTTTGTTAAATATTAAAAACAGCCTGGAGGTTAATTACTTGAATTTAGAAGCTAGAGCAAATTTTCTTTTTTCTTAATTGTTTCTTTTCAGCATGTTGAAACAACATACTATTCTATACTTAAGAACCCTTCGAACTGCATAACTGAAGTTTGTCCATCACTTCCTTCAACACTATAATTAGTATAGATATGACCTTAACATTAACCAAAAAGTTTTTTTTTCTGTTCTCTTTTCTTCTAATCTACTTTCTTAATTAACCAATCAAAGTGACATATTATCAACTGTGGATTCTTCATGCTTATTTAGAATTAAGTCTGTTTCGACATTTTTCCCTAGGTTATAGTATTAGGATTATAGTCTTGCACGAATAAGTCTTGAGTGCTTGTTAGGGCTTTAGTTTTACACAGAACTACAATGCAGCATAGTTCTGCACATTTAAAGAATCAGCATTTATCCTGGCTATTTTTAAATGCATGCATTTATCACCTATGAAAACTGAATATTGTAAAATTAACAATTTATCTAGCAGGTACAGAACTCAGCAACACCAAAATAGTAAGATGTGCAGCTGAGTCAACTGAGGACAAAACTTCCTCAACCCATCTGCCTGGCATTACTAGTGAAATGCTGGCACTTAACCACTTTGGCTCTAAATCTATTACTAGCAAGTTGGAAACTGTGACCTCTCTTACAATGTGTTAGACTGCAAAAAAGCAATTTCAAGGCCAAAATGTGTTTTGAAACACCTTAGAGCAGCTGCATCTTTCCTGGGGTTTGTATAGCTATCCTCTGCAATTGACAAATGATCCTACAGAAAGGCAAGTCTGATCTTATTTATTAATCAATATAAAATATATTCTTAACCACTGTACATGTGCTCTGAATAATCTTTTGTCCTTTGAATCTTGGTTGCTGTAAATCCCTACTATACATTACAATAAATCCATTTTATATGCTACATATATTATGTAACATGTTAGATATAATACAAAATGTTTCTTGGTCATACTCAAACCTTCCTTGTTGCACATCTATATTCAAAATATCAGAATGAATTCTTATCCCTAAAGTTGCTGACAGAACTACTTGAGTTTAGAAGATAGTGGTTTTATACAAAAAAAGTAATGGCATAGTATGATTCTTTGTGAAACCAAGTAGCATGCAGGCAATTATCAAGTATAGATTCAAGAGTCTGATGTTATATTTGAATGAAGCCTAAACACTTAACTGTTTTTTTCAATTTCTATTAAAAAAGTAGACTGCTAATAAAATCTGAAATCTAAATTGTGATTGTTTTAGTATTTGAATTGAAGCATTTGTGTGACCATAACAAATGGTGATTTAGAAATATCCCAATAAAATCAAATCAAATCACATGAATGCCAAACAACATTTTTCTCTCCAGAATTACCACCTGATTTTCCAATATAAATATTAAACTTGTTTTAGTTAACATTGCAATATTTGCATCTCATGGATTCACTCAGTTAATTGCAGTATTTCTAGAACTGGTTTTATCTATGAATTATCTATCTGCATGTCATTGTAAGAACTAAGGGGAAAGTACAATTTTTACTACGTAAAGCAAGTCTAAATTTTCAGCAATCTAATTTCCATAATTCAGGCAATGTTAAGTCTACTTTCCTTTCAGTAGCTTTCCTGTACCTCAAAACCAATTAATATTAAGTTCAGCAATAACAGCATGTAATCTTCAGTTCCTATAATCTTTTTTGTGGTACCAAGAGTAAATTTTTTGACACATTGTAAAATTTACTTTCATGTTCCACTATTTCAAGGTGGAAAGTACATGAAAACCACAAAAATATATTTTGTATAACCACAAAACAAATTATCTGTAAAAACTTAAAAACTCCATAACTCCCATTTTGCATCTTTCATTACTTTGCCCACCATAGACATAACCATCCATAAAAACCTGAAGTGTTGCTCATAAATCATAGATTATACTTAATTTAGTGTAAAAATGCTGATTTGCAAGATAAGCAAAACATCAAACTTGTCATCTGTTGCTATTCTCAGATTCTAGCATTTCCTTTATATTTTTTATCCTAGAAATATGCTTTAATACAGTGGTCACCAATCAGTGGGCCGGGGACCACTGGTAGTCCATGAGAAAATTTTGGTGGTCCGGAGAGAAATGTCCCTCCCCCCCAAGCAATTAATCTAGGGTGCACAGGAACACAAGGCTGCGCTGTCCACATGGCCCGCCCAACCTCAGGCCCCCACCCTTCGGCCGAGCGCAAACCTTACCTTGAGTAGAGCCACATGAGCTGGACCTGGAAGGTAAGTCCAATGGCAGGGGAGGGAAATCCACCCTGGGGTGGCTTGTTGACATTGGTGGGAAGTCGGTCCTATATTCCAGAGCTGCAGTAGTCACAAGACTGGCCCTTTGGTCATCCCGGAGCAGCTCCTCCAGTCCATGGCAGGCCGGTTTAACTGGGTGGAGAAGCAGCTGCTCTGGGATGACCAAAGGGCCAGTTCTGTGACTACTGCAGCTCTGAAATATGGGACTGACTTTCCCACCAACGTCAGCAAGTCACCGTGAGTCAATTCATATTAGTGGTCCGTGGGATTTAAAATTATGAGTTTGGTGGTTCCTGAGGTCCAAAAGGTTGACGACCCCTGCTTTAATACATCACCACATGGTCAATCCAGTGAGATTGATCTGTGTAAAAATCTTTATGTCTGTATTGTAACCTTAGTTGGCTCAACTAAGTTCTATCTCTTCAGCCAAGGATTTTGTAATGGATTGTACCTGTTACTATAGAGAAAGGCAAGAAGGAGATTCTAATATTATTCAATGAATATTTTATACGTTTCTAAATTTTTTATCAATTCATATCTGTACCCTCAAAATAAATTAAAAATCAGAACAGGTAATATTGAGCAAGATAGACCAATGTTTAGGAAACAGTTTCATGTCTACAGATGTAAATAAATCACAGTGAAATTAAAGAGCCTAGTTTAGACTTGGCTTAGAAATCTTGACTTGTAGTAAGATTTGAAAAACAATTTTATTATATAAATTGGAGATTCCAAAACTAAAAGGGAAAATTATCAGCATTTATGAAGACAATAACTGTAAGTCAATGCACAAGAGCACAGAACTTCTGATTAACTGAATCAGAAGTTCTATGCTCTGACTCTTTAGTGACCAGATTTTCTCCAGGATGATCTATCCTTAACCTGGTCCATTAGCTCAAAGGTGCTGCTCGTCATCCTCTTCTTCTCTTTCCTTCTACCATTCCAGCACTAGATCTTTCTATAGAGAGCTAGGTTTTCACATAATGTGTGAAAGTAACATAATTTGAGCTTGGTCATTTGTGCAATGTAATGGGAGAAAGACCTTGTGAAACAAGGCAAAGAAATGAGACCAAAGCAGCATCAGATAAAAGGCCTGAAGTAGGAATGTGAGGGGACCCTACCTAGTTTCTTGGGCTGTAAAGGAGACAAGGTAATTTCAGACTTCCAAGATTTGGCTAATACAGCTTTTCAGTAAATTAGAATCAGTAAATTAGCTCATCTGGTTGTGTTTCAGGTCTACTTCAGAAGGCTGACAGTTTTGCCTTAAGGGAGAGTTCTGGATTTATTTGTTCAATGATTCACTTGTTTGTTTTCTTGACTGTCCATTCTTAAGTATGTATTTAGTAGTATCTTCAGTGAACTTAGATACAATATTTGCCATCCATTCAAAACAATTCTGTGAGACAGATTGACCTTCATCTTTGGCACGGGAAAGATTATTATCCAAAGAACTGAGCTGATTCCAACATATCCAAAACCGTACTCAGTAATGCAATATAGATAAAAACATGCAACTTCATTTGCCTATATACAATTGTAGACTGAAGACTGAATCAATGACCATAACATCACCAGTTTAAGTTTACACACATACACCTTTGCCCATCTATCATACATAGAACAGCTTCCAGGTACTGTACAACATTAAGTTTAGTGGCATAACACTTTCGAAGCTATGAATAACTGAACCACTTAAAGGGAAACCCTGTCCATCAGAAAAAGGTGCTAGCAAATCTGTAACAGAACTCTACTGATTACTGAAATCTGAAGGAAAAAAAAATCAGTTCAATAGACATAGACCATCAAGGCCATAAAACAAAATCTTCTATCATCAATAAAGATAAAATGCTGAAATTTTTTTTTCTATGCAAACATTCAATATGCTATTTAATTCATCTTTAGCCCCAGCTGCCCACTACACTGAACTTTAAGGCACCCATCTGCTAAAGCTTTAACTTGCAAAATGATGAAGGAATTCCTAGTGCTTAGAGCCACACATTTCAGTTTTCCTTCCCAGTTAAGATGATAGTTAAAATTATTAATTTATCGTTTCTCTCCTTGAAGTCGCAATGCCTTTACAAGATTTAGACGAGAAAGCTAGAACAAGAATTTACGACCTGGCTTTCTGAGCTCTCCAGACCCAACATATATAAAGAATAAAAATGAAAATAAAAAAAGTACTTCAAAGAAGAAATGCTGCATACCGTATTTAGCTACTTAAGTAAATCTCCCCAAGGAATCCGGAAAACTACTCATTTCGCAGCCCTCCAACTGGGCTTTACAGAATAAAATCGAGCGTACATTTCACTCCCTCATTTTGCGGGTCATCCTCCTGTCGTCCCCTTTCCTTAAATTCCGGGGGCGGGAAGCGGCAGCCGAGGAATGTCACTCGCTTCCCCCCGCCCCCCTTGACGACGGGCTTTTCAAAGGAAAAGGGAAGGGAAGCTCCCCTCCTCTCCCAGCTGCTCAGCTCAGAAGCTAACCAGATTCACCCACCTAAGCTGCGGCTGCACACAGTGTCGGAGGTAGCAGCTGGAGGCGCGGACCTGCAAGGCCAGCGCATCTCTCTCCGCTCCTCGTTCTCTCAGCGCTGCACCAGCTCCCTCCTGGGTCCCGGCATTACCTCGCGGCGTCTCCGCTCAAGTTCCCTCCTCCGCCCCTTGCCGCGAAGATAATGCGGACCCCTTCCTCGCGCGGCCTGACCAGCAGTCCCGCCTCAGGCCCAAAAACCGAGCGCGCACCACCAGCACACTGACGGGGGGGAGGGTGGAGGAGTGACAGCGGCGCAGCCAATCGCACAAAGCGGCTCCCTCACTCCTTCGTCCAACCGTTACTCTCGGTAGCGGAGAACGGTGCAGCCTCAGCGCAGCCTATAGCAACGCGGGCCCCTCATCATTCCCCCGTTAGAAACCGGAGAGCCAATCCTAGCGAAGATATAGAAGCCACTCCCAGAGGATGGGCCACATTTCTCTTTCTCTCTCTTGTCAGCCGCGTCAGTGAGTTTGAGGGCGGGATTCCCGGCAGTAGAACGGAGACTAGCGGGGCGGCCATCTTGAAACAGGGAAGACGGTTGACGGTTTGGCATGACGGGGCAGGCAAGAGAGAGAGGCCTTCTGGAGATACAGTAGTAGTCATGGTAACGCGACGTGTGCAAATGTCAGCGCCTTCAGTGAAGTGAGCTATCATCCTGCAACAATACCCGCGAACACTTTTTCACTTTTTTGTTTTGCAAGCTCTACGGAAGACAGTGACGTTCAGTCTCAGATTGACCTGAGGTCGTGGGTTTAAAAAAAAAAAAAAAGCCAAGCAGCAAATGGAGTCGACGGGGGTGTTGCCGTTTCCTAGCAAAAATAGGCCCCCAGTGAATTTAACGAAGCTGAGGAAATCGCGACGAAAACGGCCTCACCGCGCAGGCGTCTTAGCGGGAGCGCGGCACTCTATTTGCATAAAGCCCGTGATGCATTGCGAATAGGACTAGAAAGGAAAAACCCGTTTCTTTAACCCCGGCAAACGTCTCCCTTTGGGGGTTGGCATCCAGCAAAGCTCGGTACCGAACTGGTGCTATGGAAGGAGCTAGGAGCAAGAAGTCGCTATAACCTAAGGAAAGGTCACTTGCTGGGAAAAGGTTCACGAGTGGGGGTTCGTCTTTTGGGTGGCTCACAAGGACTGTTCTCGAGCGGACTGCAATGTTCCCCATTAATGCTGGGGTCTATTGAGATCCATATTCTGTTGAGAACACGTGGTATTTGCTTTTTCTAAGAGAAAGGTGGATTTGTAAAGGTGGATTTTCCCTGTTTCCCCCCAAAAATCTGATTACTGTATTATCTGTGGGTTGATTTTCTAAAGCCCAGAAAACTCAAATCACAACATATGAAGGTAGTGTTTTTCCTAGAGCAGACAATGCGGAGGTCCACAAGTGTGAAAAATCTTTTAGTTCTGTTACGATACAACCACCTTTCCCAAAGTTTAGCTGTTCATATGTGTTAATTTTGGAGTTTTGATTTATAGAGGAGGTAACTTAATGTATATGGTAACTTAATGTATATTAAGTTACATTAAAAGAAAGTATGAGGGCGCAATTTGAATATTTTTTTAAAGGCAGACTACCAAATGTATTCTGCAGCGTCTTGACTGTTGGTTCCTGTACAGGTTGTCCTCTACTTATGGCCACATTGAGCCCAAAATTTCTGTTAAGTGAGACATTTAAGTGAGTTTTGCCCCATTTTACAGTCTTTCCTGACACAGTTGTTAAGTGAATCACTGCAGGTGTTAACTTAGTAACAGTTTAGTGAGCCTGGCTTTCCCATTGACTTGTCAGGATATTGCAACAGGTGATCATGTGACCCCAGGACACCCGTCATAAATGTGAATCAGTTGCCAAGCATCCAAATTTTGAGCATGTGACCATGGGGATGCTGCAGTGGTTGTAAGTGTGAAAAACTGTCATGTCGCTTTTTTCAGTGCTGCTGTATCTTTAAACCAGAAGTGGTATTCAGCAGGTTCTGACCAGTTCTGGAGAACCAGTAGTGGAAATTTTGAGTAGTTCAGAGAACTGGCAAACATCACCTCTGACTGGAGATTTTACAGTATCCCCTGCCACATCCACCAAGTCACGCCCACAGAACCGGTAGTAAAAAAAATTGAATCCCATCACTCCTTTAAATGGTCACTAAATGAATTGTTGTAAGTCAAGGACTACCTGTACAGTTGATTGTTATCCTTCACTATCTTTGTTGTCAATTTTAATGCTAGTTTTTATACTTGCTGTCATGGTCTTGATATTTAATCATAGCCCCTTTTTTCCATTTCCATTTTTAGCTATCATACTACAGTTATGTTATTTGTTATAGCAATACCAATAGCACTTAGACTTGTATACCGCTTCACAGTGCTTTACAGCCCTCTCTAAGTGGTTTACAGAATCAGCATATTGCCCCAAAAATCTGGGTCCTCATTTTACCAACCTCGGAAGGATGGAAGGCTTGAGGCAACTGGTGAGAATCAATCTGCAGGCAGCCAACAGTCACAGCAGAACTAGTCTGCAGCACTACATTCTAACCACTGAGCCACCATGGCTCTTAGGCCTCAATTGTCCAAGTAGTTCATTCAAAAAATCCTAAAAATGTGTTCCTAAAAGGAGAGGTAGGTCCTGTGGCTATATTGTAATATGCATCAGTATGATTCAGTTTCACATCTTTTTTTTAAATAATTTTGTTATTTTTAAAAACAAACATACACATACAAAACATAAAAACATAAAACCATCTTCCATTTTATATACATACAGTGTGTCAGTTGATTACATATCTTTTGTGCTATCCTTTTGTAGTAATTTACTCACAACTTATATCAGTCTTCACATTGTTAAACTAATATATGTTTATATATTTATCAGTTATTAATCATCCATGACTAAACTATTTATTCCATCATTTTATATGAGATGTTCCAAGTTTTATCTTAAAATTTGTGTTATACTTTCAACCAGTGGTTATATATATCTATATTATGTTTTATATCAGTCTATTAAATTTCTATCACAAAATTATCTAGTCTATTACATTACCATGCCTTTTTATCCAACCATTGATAAAACAAATCCCATATCATATAAAATTGCTTGTCTTCTTGTTCTCTAATTTCAAATGTCAGTTTACTCATTTCAGCACAGTCCGTAATTTTTTTGATAACTTCCTCCTGCAAAGGTATTTTGTCATTTTTCCAGTTCTTCGCAAATACAATTCTAGCCACTGTTAAAACATTTACAATCAAATATTTCAGTTCTTTATTGTATATGTCCGGTATGACTCCCAATAAAAAGATCTCTGGTTTAAAGTCTATATGTTGTTTTATCATTTTTACCAACCATGTGTGGATTTTAGTCCAATATTTCTTCGCGTCCGAACATGTCCACCACATATGGTAATATGAACCAGGTATCTGATGACATTTCCAGCATTTATCCGATTTATTCTTAAATATGTGCTCCTAAAAGGAGAGGTAGGTCCTGTGGCTATATTGTAATATGCATCAGTATGATTCAGTTTCACATCTTATATCTGAATTGAAAAGAAGAAACTGTCCTCACCTCCTGCTCGAGCAACTCCAAAGATACGATGCATTGGAAGAAAAAAAGAAAGCAAAAATCTTATATAGCCATATATATTTGTTTAGTTTGCATTTAGTTCTCCAGGAAAAACAATTCCAAAATTATATCCATCCAGCATACTATGAAGAAATGATATTTTACCAACAAGCAGTATGAGTAAGACAGTGAGATGGATATGGGAGATCAGATTTTTTCAGTTCGGTCTGCAGATGGTGCCATATCTGAATTTTGTTCTTTTCTTGAATTTACTTGCTAAATGCAACATGGGAGTCATTCTTAGCATACTAATAACTAAACGTTAATGTGATCCAAACACAAGAGATTATGTTAGGGTAAGTCCTACTGTGAAGCAGACTGAGTCAACTATGGGAGGATATCTAGTAGTGATGAAGTATTGGAGGGCAGACCTATGCTATTGTCTACTAGTAGCTGCTCTGATTCCTCCCCCACACATAAATACAAATTAGCCTAACCTTAGCTACAGTGGAGAATGCTCACCTAATTGTGCTGAAGTAATATTTAATTGCCAATCCGTTCAACTTCTGTAGATGGGACGGTATCTGAGGATGGGATTCTTTATTTCAAGCAGTTTGAATCTATAGGTTTTGAATTGTGTGTTTGTCCATAGTTTAAATCAGGACAGTGTTTAAAAGACAGTTATGGTGCCACCTAGTGGAACAAAAATTATATCTACTATTTATGTATGAATGCAGTTTACCTGTTCTAAATAATGACTGAGGTATTTAGGAATCTAAACATAAAACAGTTAGCAATAAGCATGTGTCCTTTCCCCCTTTCTTCTGCTTATTTATATACAGTAGTTTATATAAGCATTTTCTGTACCTTTGGTCAAGAATTTCACATAATTGGATAGGAGAATTCCTGAGTAGTAATTTTGAAATGTATTTATTTTATATTGTACCTTTCAGGAGCACTGTTGAGGATACTTTTTGATTCTTGCAGCATACAAATGTGTTGAATAAATATTACTGATCAGTCAGTTCTTAAACATGATTGCTTAATTTTTAAGGATAATTGCTTACATGTTCACAAGAATGGGTAATTTCTTTTTTTTTTCCAATTAGGCTATAGAGACACACTATTTTATTGATATAGTCATAAAATTAAGGGAACATTGTTTATTCAGTCTGTCTTCAGTTGTAACTCTTTTTTCTCCATAATTGGATATCATGAACAACTGTAAGTTAATTAGAAATTCAGAACTTCATTTTGATAGAGCCAAATGAATATTGAGAGTGTGTCCTTGGAATAGAGACATGTGGTGGCAGGGTTAGGTAAATGTACATATTGTCCAATCTCAGAGTTTAAAAATACAAACATCTTCAGAATGTTGTATCCACGACTGGTATGATTTTGTATGGTTCTTCAGTACAAATGACTGAATAACATTTTATCCTCTGAGGCATGTTACTCAATCATTTGTACAATTAAGTGTTCATATCCTAATAATAAGAATAACTGTTTAAAGGCAAAGCTTTGCATTCAAAAGTAAGTTCTATTGAGATAAATGTTACAAATTCCTACCTCGTTTTTGTAACAGTTTTTGCCAATCTGCTATTTTCTAGATGTGCTAAAATCTCAGTTTCCAGAATTATTAACCAACAGGATTAATCAGACGGGAAGGTTGATGTTTGGTTTACAGTACTGGATGGATGCAGTTTTTCAATAAGTCATATTCCTTCACATACTAAAGCAATTAGACTTGTAATGTT